TAACGAAAGGTTCCTATGCTGTTGGAGATAGAGCAGTCGTTTCCCATATAGCGTGCTGGAGATAGAGCAGTCTTTCCGTAGTTCCCGTTTTCCGTAGTTCCTCATTACTCATAAACACTCATCGTTTTCGGAAATTGACACTTTCCAGGGAGATAGAGCAGTCTTCCCGTAGTTCCCGTTTTCCGTATTTCCTCATTACTCATAAACACTCATCGTTTTCGGAAATTGACACTTTCCAGCGGCCGGATAAGCTTTAGGAGGATAGCTAACACAACTGCTTCAACTGCTTACTGTGAGCCAATGGCGTAAGCAACTATCATGGTTCGGATGCTGAAAAGGTTAGCGGTTGAAATTAACTTCTGGTGGCGATGATATTGCAATAAAAACACTCAACAGTGTATCATGCTTGCATGAAACCGACCATCTTGTTAAGATAGGAGAAGTTAGCGGTCGAAAAGACGATTTGGTGACGACGACATTGCGGAAAAATGAAATGCTTCCTTATCGCGCATCTAGATAATGGCTTTGGTAATCCCCCTCCTCAAGCTGCTCGTTCATATCACCCCTTATCAGTATCACTCTCTGCCCCTCCCCCTCCCTCCACATGCGCTTTCGTCCCACCCTGTACATCATCTTTGAGGGACAACGCCTCAATGCTTCTGGGCCATGCACTGAAAATTTCGTGACACTCGCAACCTAAAGCACCTTCTTATCAGCTGTTATCACCACCTGTCTTTCGCCAAATATTTCCCTGTCCCACCCCTTGTATCATATCTTAGATTTAACTCCTAACGACTGCTGGTCCACGCGCTATGAGACAGACAGACTTAGCGCTTTATATGAGGGATGTACTGGAGAAGATAAAGGTAATAAACAAGGGCATGTCTTTGCTTATAGGGGGACATTTACGAGGAGTGTTTTGATGAAAGAACTTCCGATAACAGTGGCACCCGTGCGGCGGAGAGTTTGCTGTTGTGTGCATTGACCGAATATAATGTTTTCTGCTTCCCCCCCCCTTATCCATCCCCTAATACTTCCGCCTTATCGATCGTAAGGCAGCAGAAACGAATGCAAAATTTCAAAATTAACACATCAAATCAGTGTTCTTCAAATGTGGTAGGTGTGTTTAGAATATAGTGTATGTTAAGAAAAGTGCAACGGTGCTATACTGGATCGCAGTGAACTAGGTTATGTAATGGCTGTCATCATGGAATGGGCGTATCAGTCACGCAGCGTCACTCCTGAACTTAAAAAGGTAATGACAATGACATACTACTTAACTTCGGATGATGTCGAAAATTACGCCTTCGATTAAGCCACTCCATGCCTTTCAAATATACACTGCTGCGCATAATGATACATCCACATATTCCTGAAAACTCACATTTATTGATGTAAATGAAAGACTCGAACTAAAAATGTGGCACACGTAAGCATAGATTCGATTAACACAAAAAATTTCAATGAAGCAACAATTGCTCCCTTTTCTTCGTCACCACCCTTGTTCCGTGAAATTATATGAGCTCTCACAGCACGCTTTTTCGCCTTCGTCTTTTTTACTTGACCAAGTACCACTGTTATCAGCCTTCCTTTTGGAGGTGGTAGCAAAACGAAACTTGCTGTCATTCCAGGGAGGAAGATTCATCGAGAAAGAGGTCCGAGGATTGTCGGATCGTCGAATCGTGCTAGAATTTGGTTTAAGTCTTATCGCCATAAACAATTTCTCTAAGAATCTGCAATTTATGAAACTGAAATGAATTGCTCTCTGACTGTGATAGGCGCCTTGACCAAATAGGACACAATTTTGCCAAGAGAGGTACGAAAGCGGTATTTTCGAGAAGAATCTTCTTCAAAAGATAATTCCAAAGATTCAGATAATAATTCAAAAGATAAAATAATTCTTCAAAGGATGGCGTTTGGCGCATTTTTCAGAGCTTTCACGAACATGGTCTATCCGAAACCATCCAAGAACTGATAACGAAGGATCTAAAAAAATTCAGCAGAGCCGAATAGTCTTTCATCTGCTAAGTGTTCATTACTGCCTGCCTTATTCTTCATCTTTTCTTTTTCACACGTGTCTCCTTCAATGTAAGAAGAAGAGAACCTTGATAAGGAGGAGAATATTTAGAGGAGCTTTACGCAGACCTGAAGCATAACAGATAAAGGCCCATCCATAATTCAACTCGTGTCCTGACTTCCGTGCGAGTTCCTTTGGGGTAGTCCCAGTTGGTAGGGTCCTGGTGTCCAGAAGGATCGAAAACGCTGGAATCTGAGCCAGAGAAGCACAGGGTCAAGTCACTCTTCACGCTGCAGCCGCCAAGCGTGATCGTCGCTATTAGTTCGTCGTCACCCGCAGTCTTTTCGCAGCCGTACGTCATGGAAAATCACGGACTCACTACTGGATGCTCCATACAGCGGGACCGCAACCTCGTTAAGGAACTTGGACTCCTTGAGCAGTAGGTTGCATGTTCTACCATTCGTAGTACTACATTTCATGTATTTAGTTTAACTCTAGTTTTTCGTTACTTCAAGATATTAGTTCATGGTGCCTTTGTTTTCGTCGTGAATTAAAATCTCAGTGTTAACACCGCAGCGTACGTTCTTCCGGGTGTGTGAATTGTCAGCAATGCCCGTGGCTGATAAAACTTCACTGTGCGCTATAGGGCCAGTGAAATTTTTGGCGTAACTCTAGGTCCCTAAATTTGCAACAGTTTACATTTTTGTAGCACATTGGGGCTGCTAGGGTCTACATAAGTAGCCCGTGTGATACAGTGGCGGGACGCGAACGCGGCGTAAGCTCCCTATCACAAACTCTCACGACGACCATGGCGTAAGGTTTTGCAATCGGCGTTCTCGCTGAGTGAATCTTGAGGGAAACTGCGGAGAGCAATGCAACCACTCCGGCGCGACAGCTCGGCTACTCCCCTTGACAAAATTGCTAGCGATTTTCGTAGTGGTTTCTTGTCATAAAAGATGTGTTGCCCATTTACCGTAGGTGAATGGTCAAATAACTCATGGAAAACACGCCAAACAGCATCCGATGAGACATTAACCTGAAGGAAGTTCAATTCCGTGAAGGGCTGAAAAAGTTACATTTATCTCTCAAAATACGGCGCTTTCCTCAATCAGGAAGTTATATTGTGTGTTAGTTTTTTGTCCTCTCGAGGTTGGTCGGTGGAGCTTTTATTAGAGCGGCCTAACGTTTCGACTTGATCGTCGTCTTCGGAGGCACTGGTTCCACCATTTGTGCGGAGAAATCCGCTCAGGCAATCCTATTTTCTCGTCGGGAAAATTTGAATTTTACTGACTATGAGGCGAACGCGTGTGAGTTGGTCCATTATATTTATAGGGCATAGCATATTGCCCGACGTCAGCAAGAAGTGCCATTTCAATGATGAAGACCTGATGAAGGTGCTAGAGTCTCAAACTGCTGTTGTACTTAAATCCCCATTATGAGGGCGTGGGTGCAGCACCCTACTAAGAAATTCTTAATCTTTCGCCACAATCTGACTTCTTGGAATACCGGCAGCAAGTTGCTTTCGATCACCTCAAAAAGGAAGAGAGTAACAGTCATACAATTTAATCAAGTAAAAGTTGCCGAAAAGATGCGGCAGATCCAATTATGGTTTTGCGAAATAAATATGTTTAGTGACTTTTTCAAAGAAATGACCTTGAAAGAAGGAAAGAAAATCACAGCTTATCCAAATATAAGCTCCGTCTCCATATTCAAATTTGTGTTTATGCACATAATCATCAACTTATGTATCACATCACCTCAAAGTCTTTTTTGAAGAATCTTCGAATGTAGAGTTTTGGGAAATCTTAGTGTAGTGGAGGTACGGTGCCATTATGCGCAACAGTAATTTGTGATAATGATTTACTATAATACACCACTGCAGAAGCACATGGAATGGTGCCATACGTATGCAATTATGGATAGATTCATGCGTAAACATGGAAATATGTCAGTTTGTGTTTTCTTCACACATTCTTTTCGTAGAGGCATTTGTTTGAGCAGCAGAATACATTCATACTGGATCGGCCTATAAGAAATGTCGTTTTTAGCCACCAAAAACTTCACTGTAGAAACAACAACTAAGCGTGTGATGCTAAATTGTGTCGTCCATTTTGGTCAGTTGATTCTATCCGTTTTCCATGCAAGAAATAGGTGACTTCTTGGATGAACTGTCTCCAATGCGACGCAAAGAATTTGGATACGAAAATTTTAGCGTCCTCGAGGTTTTTGGACTTATTCTTCACGAAGGAGTGGAGTGTGCTGACCGGAATAAACGGTAATCAGGAGGCACAACTCTGTTCTTTCACGTCTGTCTGGCATGCGGAGCAAAACCATTAGCATTCTTCGTTTCTTTTTGAGGTATTTTCACAACATAGGGGTTTTGCTATCAAACAGAATGACCTCTTGATGACGCAGCTCCCTTGATTGCTGAACTCTGCGCACGGCGTGCAACCAGCTGTGCGTGAAGTTACTAATCAACAATCAATATTAAAGTGTTGGTTGTGCCTGATCAACAATCAACACCTGAAGCTACACCAGTTCCGTTCTGCCCTGCAATACAAAAGCATGACCTTCTGTTCCGTGGATGTCCGATTTTGGAGGCGGTTTCAGCTGTCCATTTGCTGCCAATCAGAGTCGCCGGAGTCGGTTTCAGCTGCACATCTACTGCCAATGAAGACCGTCTTCTCAGTAACGAAGACAAAAACTCCGTTTTTCTTGGTGGTGTGGGACAGAGTTTCACCACTGGCAGCGTGCACTGTTCGTTCATTGTTCACTGTCCAACACTAACGCTCTCTCTCTTCTAAAAGAATAGGAACAGACGGCGAGAGGGTGGACTACTGCGCTGCGAGCGGCGCGACGTTGTGAGCAGATACTTCGCTGCAAAACACGCCATCGTCCTTTATACTTACAATAGGGGTCTTCAACTTGGTATATTCCCCCTACTTCAACATGAGGCCTTGTCATGTAATGCCCCTTTGAACACTGATACCATTAAAAATGTGGAGTAGCGAAGTGAAAATAATTAAGCTCTTCGTAGGTGAGGGTAATTAGGCACAGCAATGCGTTGCATTAGGTTGGCCAAGAAGGAGTGTCGCTCATTTTGTGACGTTGCTTCCATTTCAAAACATGATGTCTCACAATTAATGGGTGGTTGTTCGGAAGAAAGTTTTTGGCGCACTGGAGGAGATATTACGTCAGGGAAATGATGATTTTCTGACAAAAATTTCGCCTGAACACGATGAGTCCAAAACGTTGCCTTCGTGTATGCATATGGCACGCCTTCAGACAAAACAGCGTTCACTGATATCGTAGTGCATTAAAACTTTCAACAGAAACGCTCAGTCTCTCGGGCAGTTGCAGCTGTGGTTCCGTAATTTTTAAGCTAAGGTAAATGTAGTGAGGACGAGGAGCATGCATACCGACCTGAGCTGTTGATAACAAATACTGAAAAAACCGTTGAATCGAGCCATTGAAAGCTGAAGAAAAACTTGCATGAAGCTTTCAAACTTTAGGGTTGAAGCATTCAGCATTTTTCAGTATTTGTTATCAACAGCTCAGGTCGGTATGCATGCTCCTCGTCCTCACTACATTTACCTTAGCTTAAAAATTACGGAACCACAGCTGCAACTGCCCGAGAGACTGAGCGTTTCTGTTGAAAGTTTTAATGCACTACGATATCAGTGAACGCTGTTTTGTCTGAAGGCGTGCCATATGCATACACGAAGGCAACGTTTTGGACTCATCGTGTTCAGGCGAAATTTTTGTCAGAAAATCATCATTTCCCTGACGTAATATCTCCTCCAGTGCGCCAAAAACTTTCTTCCGAACAACCACCCATTAATTGTGAGACATCATGTTTTGAAATGGAAGCAACGTCACAAAATGAGCGACACTCCTTCTTGGCCAACCTAATGCAACGCATTGCTGTGCCTAATTACCCTCACCTACGAAGAGCTTAATTATTTTCACTTCGCTACTCCACATTTTTAATGGTATCAGTGTTCAAAGGGGCATTACATGACAAGGCCTCATGTTGAAGTAGGGGGAATATACCAAGTTGAAGACCCCTATTGTAAGTATAAAGGACGATGCGGTGTTTTGCAGCGAAGTATCTGCTCACAACGTCGCGCCGCTCGCAGCGCAGTAGTCCACCCTCTCGCCGTCTGTTCCTATTCTTTTGGAAGAGAGAGAGCGTTAGTGTTGGAAAAGGCAGCATCGACGTAAGTTGCATCGATACAGAAATTACGAGATGATGATAAACGATAAAGGATAAAGCATTTGCCGTTGATCAATCCCTTTTTGGGATGCGGCACGCATTCTACTTCCATTTGTACATTCGTAGTGGCGTTTGAATGCGATGTGGCCTATACAATGACTTGCGGGGGCCAGCCGATGTACAAGTCAGTGTTTTTATCCTCCCAGACAAGTCTGGTACCAATTAACCCCGGAGGGATGGAAGGCTTGGTTGGCCCGGGCGACTCACAACCCACGATTCGATTCTCGTACCGCTTGCATGACAGCTAGCACCACTTGCCGAACACACCGTCCGTCCTGCTTCCACTGATATGACCAATAGCTTGTGGAGTGGATTCTTGAGCGAACAGGTATGCTTCTGAAAAGGACGTCTAGAAAAGGATGCTATAGGCACTAGCATCACGATAGGCAGATGCCGACTTTGCGACCGTCGCGCGATGCTCTGGCAGTTACAGCACTACGAGCAATTTCAAAGTTCGTGGGAAGCCAGGCAGTTTCTAATGTTCGAACGTAGCCGATAAAATTACCGCCCTCCCGGAAACATTCGCCTGCTCTTCTGAGGCATCGGACGCTAAGGCTATTCTTAGACAGCGCATCCTAGGTGATATTTGCCAAATCCCAGAAGATATCTAACGCTAAGAATTGTTTGTCACGCGACGACCGTAAAGCTAAATGCCGCGCTTTTAGCCTGTTCCTCATCATGATTTGATTTCTGGCTATGTAGGCGGTCAGTTCTCCTTTCAGTTCACCAACCTTGACGCCTGACTCCAAGACATTCTACAGTAGTAGTGCCAATTAGTGGCCAATGCAGAGCAAGCACCTAATCACCGCAAGGTTTGAGTACATTCGAATAAATTATCTGAAGCCATGACTTAGACTTTGGACCTTTGATAAGTGACTTCGTCAAACTGGATTAGAAATCAGAGAAGGGCGCTTCACATTGGTCACATTACTTACTTTGCAACACGGAAAAACAAAAATATTAGAAATAATCGTGTTCTTTTTAATGCACTATTTATTATAGCATATTTATTCACAGAAAGCTGATCCATCCTGACTATCTACCGAAACTCGACTCACAAATAAGGCACAGTGTACTCGTCGACAGATTTATGTCATCACCTCGATTTTCGGAGCGAGAATCGGCTGCTATCTCAGATCCTTTTCGTAGGAAGAATGCTGAAGAAGTACCAATTTACAAAAAACAAATCAACATCGGAGAGAAGGTGCGGTACACCATAACTTTGCATGATTCCACATGGAATTTGTTATGGCAAACATTTTTCCTCGTTAGTCTCCAAGCATAACAATTTGTTTTGAAGTCATAAGCGACTTTACACCTACCCTTTCGGGAACATCTTTCAATTTTTCGTAAAGAGTTAGGTTCAAAACGCCGCTTCGATAGCAGGTTCTCACTCCATCTCGAAGACCCCGTTGTAGTGATAGCAATTGTTGGGCCACGCTTCTTCTGTAATCCAAAATATTGGGTTGAAGCATAACATCGCAGCGTTTTTTTTTCTCGAGCGACAAATT